TCTTCAAGTTTAGAGCTGCTGATTTTTTCTGGAAATTCTCTTTGCATGAGTATTGATAATGTAATTTGTGGGAATATGCTGCACTATTAGTCTGAGCTAATCAATGGGAAAGAATCTGAATTGAATTTTGCTTTATATCCACCTTACTCAACCTAATTACACTGGTTGTTTATATAGTTTCTTTTATTTTTGTCAAAAAAAAATATTAGTAACTAAGAAAATAGAGTACTGCATCCCTCCACAATTAAAGTCTAGTCAGATGTATGTCCATTTCCATTTTCTCCACAGAGAAGCTGTCTGATTTCACTTTAATTCCAAGACCACTATGAAAGATCACCTTAATTATAGGATTCTTGGCACGGCATTTATGTTGTCATTCAGCTTGATCGATTCATATTGCTGAGTTGTCAGTCTAAACTGTATCAAATTTATTTTCAAAATGTATTTTCATTAAGTATTTACCTGTTCTTTGCCTGTAATATAAGATGTGCCTTTCAAAAATCTTAAAAATACCTGTACATTTTTGATTACAGATTTTGATCTTGACCCTCATTCAGAACCTCTCCATGTCAAAACACTGAACCTAAGGAAATTGCTGCAGATTTATTCTTGGGTTTGGCCTCACAGTCAGTAAGGCTAAATGAAAACTATAAGGAAGTAAATAGTACGTATTATCTTATGATGTATATTCATATGTTCTAGCTTATTAGAAAATGTAAAACTTTCTTTGATAAGTTTCCCTCGACCATATGACACCACTATTTTAGAATAGTTTTACACAGATCTGCATACGAAAGTAGGAGCAGTCAAGGAATATGATAATTGATGAAACAGAAATAAATAATGAAAAAATGCAAAAAAATATTTTGGCTGCTAAAAAAGTACATACTTGTTGCTCAATGCTTATGTACATTTTAGTTTTGTCTCCTGCCAGAAATATTCATATATAAAACCAGGTTAAAAAAACAATCCTATAGACCATTATTGTTGGAAAGAATTAAAAAAAAAAAAAAAAAGGAAAACTATTGATCTTATATACTGTTTTATAAATATAAAAATTTATTTTCAACAGTTAATGTATTGAAATAATACATCCCAAGCCAAAAGTTATAGTGGTTAATTAACCAAAGTAGGCCATTATCTCTGAAAATTTCCAGCCCCTCTGAAAGTTGCGCTAAATCTACAATCTGTAATAATATATTGTAAATATATATTGATGAAATATTTTCCTTCTTATGGGCTGAACATTTGACTCACATGCTTCCCTCCTGCTCTATTAGAAATCTGGTGCAAGGATGAAGAAGATTGTGAATACCATCAAACAGAATTTACTTGTGCCTAATTTCAAAGAGATCAATGAGTTTGTAACTACCTCACCTCTAATTCTCTGTGGTAAAGGAAAGGAGGCCAAAGACCAGAGGATTAAAAGTTTTTGGTAATATGATTAAATGTTAGTCATAGTTCAGTGTAGAACAAGTATACAAATATTATGAATCAGTGCCACTGTATTGTCTTTATTATCTTTCAATTCACGGTAGTGCATCTTATTTTCTCTTTCAGTTTTCCTTGGTTTAATAAATGCCACATCAAAACACTTCAGTAGATTGTAAAAAATATTACAGACTTCTGAGTGCCAACAATATTACTGTAATTATCATAGAAGTGATGTACAGCATTAAAGCCATTCTTATTTAAGAATTTTTTATTTAAATAGTGCAGTTGAAAAGCACGATCAAGTAACTGCATAACAGAGCCAAGGGAAGCAGAGAATCCACTTCGTTGTTTAGGACAGTTAATTTATCTCCTTTACTCTGTAATCCTGCTTGTCATATAAAACTGTGAGGGCAAAGCTGTAGCTCAGTAACATAAGGCTTATTAAAAATAAAATACATTTCAACCCCACTTTTAAAGTGGTAAAACACAAATTAATTAGGATGCTGCCAAATGAATTATGCTGCTTATGTTTTAGAAGTGCTCAGAAAGTTTCTGTAGATTGAGTTTTAGGTACTCAGCTTGAAGTAAACATGCAGTTTATTTGCACAGAAACAGTCCAACTAGAGTAAGATAAGCAATGTAAAAAAAGCCTCTGTTTCTTTTCTTAACCAATATTTTTGAAGATAATTTCCTCTGCCATATTAATATATTATGGGATAGAAATCGTCTTAAATAAAATCTCATTTCTTCTTCTTCTTACATATTCCCAAAATTTTTAGAGATATAGACAAGTATGTATACAGGTTTTTTTTTTTTCCTTTAGATAATTAAATTCTGTCAGTTTTCATTGATAAATGTATGTCAGTCTTCAATGTGTCACCTAAATACTCCTGTTATATTTATTTTAATCTCTTGTTGGTGATTAACTACATTATTTAGTTTTGCCTATGATTTAAGGAAAAAGTTATCCTTTCTTCTAATGGATGAGGACTAAAAAAAATAATAATTAAAAAAAAATTAAAAATCTTTTTAAGTTGTTCACTGCCCCTATGTTCCGGAAAGTAAGAAAGTGATTACACTGCAAAATCTAACAAAAAACTGCCTTTCATTTTAAACAAAATTTCTGAGTTAAATGGTTACCAAACCATGTTACTGAATTGTACATAAAGGACAGAAGCCTTTTGCATAAGAACATACAGAGGACTGATGGAAACAGGAGTTACAGATCTGGCAGCTTATAACGCTGATCTGCAGACCCCTCCTTTGACTCAGAAATACAACTGGGTAACACTTAAAACAAGAGTTTTGAGAGGTTTGACTACTCTGTTCTTCTCCATTTCAGAAGAACCAGAAGAACCATGCACAAAGGCATGATAGTTACTTATTTTGAACTTTCCACTTCTGTAATAGTGGAAACACACCTAAAAATTGATTTTCACATTACAGGTAAATATTTTCTCTGTTAGTCCATCTAATACATGTTTAGTTTATGATATTTTTAGAAGGCAGAGGCTGTAAATTTGTGGGTAGTATTTAGTTGTTTTTTTGTTCCTCAAAAAAAAAAAAAATAAAAAAAATAGTAGTTTAAGGTTTTATTTGGGTATTCATTTCTTCCCAGATCTCACGAGCTGGCACCTTGTTGTAAATCACAATAAAACAGAAATGTCACAGAAGAGATTCTACAAGTATAGTCTACCTGTTTGATGTTAATGTGCCTGTGCAGAACCCTGAAGGTTAATAGAGGCACCATGCTTCTCACAAAGATTCCTGATGTCTCATGTACCATGAATTCAGTTGTTTATCTCCATGTGATATCAGGGCTCCATGCGCTAAGGTGACTGAAAAAGGTACTGGGTAGGATTACAATCCGAAGCACACCTATGTGTTTATGTGGCATATTTGCATTTCAGGTTTTATATGAAATTGTGAAATAACTTCTGATCTATTTACGCAGAACTTTTAAAGAAGAAGGAAATTATTATTCCTGCTGGGCATAGCTTCTACACAATTTTTCATTAGCTTCCTGGGCTGCTAAGAGCTCAAATTTAGATCAAAGGATATTTTTTTGGAAATCGGACATCTCTCCTCTTTTTCTAATAATTTATAATTAACAGATAAAATTGATAACTTTATTTCCAAGTCTCCCAGCATCCCCAGCTAACAACATGGTTTCAAAACTAAATATTCTAATTAATAGATCTTAATTTTCCCAGATAATTTGATTTTTCTTTAAGCAACAATCATATGGTGAGAATCTCTTTGCATCAAACTCTTTTTCTCCTGTCTGAAAATAATAAAACAATTTATGTTCTAATCACTATTTTTCTGTTTGGCTCAACTGTTAATTTATTCTATAAGTAATAGAACTTCTAATTAATCTGGAAGATTCTATGACTATTTAGAATGCAGGGTGAGCTAAGCTTCCTTTGAAAAAGAAATCTAACTATTTTCTTGAAGTTAAATCCTGAATTTGCAAGTAAAAGATTGTATGAAGAACTGAAATGAAAGTTCATGCTAAAATATGAACACTAGTTGTGACATGCTACGGCTACCCTAACTTAAAGAAGACTTTCAAAATCAGAATGTTTTAAAGTTATCAAATAAAAGTCTTAGAGGAGCTAGGAATGCACTGGAGAAGACAGTGAGAAGTTCGGGACAGGCAACAGAGAGAGGTAGATAAAAGATGGGGCTTTAAACTAATATAATGAAAACACAAGAAACATTTATTATTAAAAAAAAAGATAGAAGAAACCACCTAGAACAGATAAAGAAAACTGTGTTGCTGGATTTTTTTAATGCATCTTGTTAGACACCTGCTGTTAGGTGTGAATTCTTTCTCATGCAGCTTAAACACTTGCCATGATGTTTCATTCCAATAAGTGACTGATTTCTGTGTGGACTTTATTTTGCTTTCCTAAGGAAACAAATCTATTTACTTTATCCAGTACATAAGTAATATTTAATTTTACTTCTGATAAAGAAATAGAAAACCCATAACAATTTTAAAATACTGAAAAATTAATTGACATGATTTGGATATTAGGGAAGTATTAAATTAATTGACATAATTTGGATATTAGGAAAGTATTTTGTCAAACATATTTGGAGAATGGAAGAAAAATTAAATTAACTTTCCTAAGGAACTTTTTACTTGTTTCTAGATAGCAGGTAATTTTAAAATTTGCTGTTCAAAGGGTGGGCTCAGTTCAGCGCAGGCTGTGTCTCACCTAAAAAATCCATTGCGCAGGCTGGAAAGGTAAAAAGACCTTTCCCCAAATCTTCGTTGGCGAAGATGGGCCATTATTATTAATATATTATTTAGAGTAATATAAAACCTGGTTATTTCTAAAATTTTAAAGAGGAATTAGTTGCTCTAATAGGACCAAGTGTCTAGGAGTCTTTTGAATTCAGGTATGACAAAACTTAACCTAACATTGTTGTCTAAGAGACCACATAAATTTGATTCTATGTTTAAGTTAAGCTTATTCATCAATTATTGGGCTTGACTGTACATTCAGTGAAGTCATAGGTAAAGTCATTCCCTTAAAAAAGCCCTTATTTTTTTAATTGCTTTGGGCTGTATTTGTTGAGCTCCTGCCAAGATACTGACATAGATCCCACTCAAACAAGAGTTTAAGTCTGTGCTTAAGTCTAAGCACATACTTTTATCTAATTAAAATTCTAGATGGATGTGGCAGACTTCCAGCCTTCAGTCTTAATACAGTTGGAACTCACAATTGGATCAGAAGGAATTATGCTTTCAGTAAGAAAAATATCAGTCCTGTGGGATGGAGGTTCGATGTTATCCTAGAAACAAAGGAAAAGGAAAGGTTTTCCACATTATAAAAATATTTTTACTCCTGAAAAAAACCTTTTCTTTCCTATGAGAAAGTCCAATCATGTATTCTGAAATCCTGTCTATATTGTACTTAGCAATCATTTGATAACTTCAGAGAAAAAAGAACATCATTCCTTTTGTAATAAGAATCTGTTACAGAAGGATTCTGGAATGGGGGTGTTACATACTACAGAATCCATAAAACCCAAAGTTTCATGAAAGTGGTATAAATGAATGCCTGTCATTTTCTCTCACATAAATACCTCCAAAGACCAATGAGAAATTTGTCAGAAGTTTCTTTTTTTCTTAGTGATTTCCTTGCATAATTTTCATTTTTCTTTCAGAGAATACAGATGTTATTTTTCACGCTGAATTCTAATGAATGTATGGTTGACTGAGAGATAGTGCATATTCTGATCTTTTATAATCACCAATAAAAGTGGAAATAATATTTTTAGATGACTTAGTATTTAGGTTACCCCTATGTGCTAGATCAGTTGTCCTTAACACACCATTTGAAATGAGAGTCTGTCATGAAATAGTGCTGAATAGCAAAGAAGACTTCAAGATTTTCTCAGTTCTACGCTGCTCTGACACTGGTATCCATGTAAGCCTGGATAATCCATCTGCATATTCATCCCTTCCTGTAAAAGGTAAGAACATTATTAACAAGGGTTGGGTTATGACATTGTTTTACAAAATACCACATAAGAATAATTCTCTGTTTCAAATTTAAGCACTCCAAAGTATGGTATATGCAAAACTGTAAATAAGAGTTAAGATGGTAGCCAGCACTGCTGTATGGCTTTGTCCTAAATTCTCATCAATATGCCACAACTGGGTAAGTGTGTTTTATTTCTGCTATAAGAGTTATTAAAAGAAGCTTTTGGTCAGTAAACAGTAATGTAGCAGTGTCATCCAGCAGAAAACTTTAACGAAATTTTGCTTAGTGCCAGGCAGAAAATACAATTCCTTACAATAAATATCTTACAACTTTCTCTCTCTGTCCTTTTAATGACACTTACCTAATAAGGATAACATCAAGTATTGGTAGCTATTCAGTAGAATAAAAATCCCAGAAAGTATTCATTGTAGAAACTTAAAGTCTCATTTAAACTTTGATGACCTAATGAGAAGAACCTGTTTAGAAGGGTGGGACAGCATTACAGTTCTAAGAAAACATTGTCTTATTCTGGAATAGTAGAATTTTGATTCCTGAATGTTGGGGAATCAGCTTCTCCTAAATTTAATTTAATTTTTGTAGGTTTTCTGATGGTTCAATGTGATTTTAAGATAAATAATTTCAAGCCTATAAGGGCACAAATAAAATGGTTTTTAATGTTTGATAGAAGAATATTTTTTCTTGTCAGTAGAAAAATGATGAAAAGTAAATAAAATGACTGATATGTTTAAACTAGTCTTTGTATAGATAATATTGTTTTATCACAAGTCAAAGTATTACTATATTTCTGTACCTTTTTTTTTCTTTTACATGAGATTATATAACACTGATAAAGCAGTTTAATTTATAAATTATGATTGGAATATGTCATTTAGAGGTGGACTTCCTAAAATGGTTGTAATTTTAATGTTTCATATTTCGAGCTCTTATTTTTCTTTTAAGCTTTCAAAATTGAATTATTTGAAAAGTGCTATTGGTGCCAAGCAACAAGTTTAACTCTACCTAATCAAGTATAGACATAAAAAAACTTAACTACAAGATAAAATAAGAACACTTACCAGCTAAGAAAAAATAAAAAAGGAAAGTGAAATGAAATAATGGACAAAGATTTAAAGTCACTCTCTGGAAATGGAAAGGAACAGAGAAACCCATAATGTGTTGCCAATCTATAAATAAGCAATTAAATTTATTGGCTGTAGCAGAAGAACTTACATGTTCACTTGTGTGAATACAGGCTACAGAGTCTGGCCTTGAAAGACTACTTCTGAATAAAGAATCCAGTAACATAAAGCAGTATTGATTTGCAAGATAAAAAGAACTAAACTTTGAATGAACTTTAGGGACTCTTTTTTTTTTCCCCAAACAGTGGCAGTTTTGTACCAGTTATGCATCTAGAAAAAAAAAAAAAGGCAAATGTTTTTGGTGATGAAGATCATCATGGAGAGAACTTTTCTTTTATAAAGTATTATTTTTAACAGTTATTTTGAAATCCACCTCCTTCTTGCCCCATCCCATCTTTGACCTTGTCAGTTTTAATAGGTTTTAACTTTTATTCAGCTGTCACATTCTTGCTATCATCTTCCTTACTAAAAAAGTTACCATCTGTCTGAACCAACAATATTTTCATTGTTAAGGCATCTTCTCCCACAACATATGTCTTCAATTTCTAACGTGAATCAGAATTCTTGGAGAATGTTGTCAACGATCATGCCACCAATCTGATTGAATCAGCCTTGACATTTTGCCAATTAAACTGTGCACTTTAAAGAAAATTATAAATAGCACTTGCTTTGTTACAAGGTTCAGTATGGCTCACTAGGATAATGAAACATAGAATTTCCTATATTTTTTTGGAGATTCACATAATAACAAGAATTTCAGTTTTGTGGTCCAATTAATAAATTGCTTTTGTAGTAGTTTTCTTCTATGTAGTAGCTTTTTTAAAAAAATTAGGTCTTTTTAGAGGTTTTTTTAATATCTAAATTATCAAGTGAATTAAATTAATAAAACATACATTTGCATAATTCTGTAAGTATGACACATTATAAAAAAATGTTCAGGCCGTGGAATCTATGACAAACTATGGTATTGTCTACTTCTTGCACTCTAATTCCTGATTCTAAAGTACTCACAGTGTCTTATTACATTCACAGATGTGATAATTTGACATTTTTTCCTCATTAACAGAATTTCCAAAATATATATTGTGATTAGAAAACAAAAACTTTTAAGGACTTGAGAGGAAGTGGAAGAGAATAGAAAGTTCAAATGTGGATGAAAAGAGTCTTTAATAAGATTTACTTCTGAGAGTATGTTATCAGGAAAACTGGTTTCAGCTGGAAGAAATTAGAAGCCCTTGGAGCCTTCAGTATTACTGCCTATATATAGCATATCCTGTACTGGCTTTTTTCATAGATCTTTGAACAGTTTAGTCCTGCAAGATACTGTATGTCTTGTCTCCTCCATATGAAAAGTTTTCCAATAAGGCTAGTTGAACATTTTTCAGCAGAGCTATTCTTCAATGTAAAATTATGTTTTGATCACACAGATTTCTTCCTAAGAAAAAGTCTACTTTTCAGAATATTTCTTTGGGAGTTTTTGTCCTTAAAATCTAGATAGTCCAATCACAATAAATCTCAAATGCCAAAGAAAAGGTAAAATATTATTTCTTAATAACTCTGGGGTGTTTTTTTTTTCAGTTTTCATGTATAGTTACATCATATGTAACTGTGTATGTATGTGACATTACATATATATGCCACACCACATGTAGACATCACATCGTCTGGATGTGCATGCAACAGGATACTAGATTCAATGTGCTCCCCTTAGTATACAGAAAGAAATATAAAAGGACTTTACTCACACTAAAAACCTGAATTTCTGCATGTGAAGTGTTAATTGTTGGCAAAGGCTAATCCAATCTTCTTCACTCACAGTGGGAAAGAAGAACTATTGCTCTAGGCAGCTGGGAATTTCTCTGTGAAACCTTCCACCAGATGAACAGCAGATCTGAGACAACTGACTTGATGAAGCTATTCTTCTTTAAATCCGAGCTCTGTTCTCCTCCCAGTTTTTAAGCTGCTTTGGACAGTTCTGTTACCTATTCTCTGTATTTCAATAAGGAGTAGGTGGAGTTGCTGGTTTTGCATTTAAGAAGGAACTATTTGCCTGCAGAAAGCGCAGACATCACTGACTATGCAGCAAAGTTCCTATGTGCACCCCTTGGGAATGAACCCATATCTTGCAGAATATATGCATATATATTTGCGATGGGGAAGCCTTGAGTAGGGCCATGGAAAAGCACCACAAAATTATCTTATATTTTCAACAATAAATGCAGTTGTGTTACTGAGTCATAGTTCCTTTCATGAGATAGAGCAGTAGACTTGACCTACCTATCACACAAAGCCTCAGTTTATCTCTAAGCTGTAATTTTCTTGCATTACTAAAAGCCTTGTACGATGCTCTGGGCATAGAAGTGGCATACTATTTAATAATAACTGAAGGGTGATTGCAATTCTTCTACATATACACACAATGATTTTCAATAAATGTAAACAGCTAAAATTGAAAAGCAAAAGGAAAGAAATTACAAACATAGAAAAAAATAAGTCACGGTTATAGAGCAAAAGATGACAGAGAATATACTTTTATTTCCACTTGACAGGGAGAGATTGGCCTTTGATTTCTGTAGCTGGGACATAGAATATCTGTATTTCATGAGAAAGTAAAAGCTTGTGTCCCTGACCAGCGTAATGAGTATTTGTTAAGGTCTCACATTTCTAAAATCTGAATCTCATTTATTTTAAGACTGTACTAATTTTAGGAGAACTATCAAGCAAGGGCACATTTTTAAAACCCACAGCAGTTTACATGAGGAAACCTTTATTTCTTGTGTCAGTATTTACCCAAATTAAGATTATTGCCAATCATTATTATGTTCTTTCTTGCCTTTTAAAAAAGACACTAAAAAAGAAAAAAAAATACAGCAGATAAGATACTTTATCCCACGGTGAGAATAACAACCGAGTTGAGACTTATGTAGAATGAAATTTGTATTCCAGTCAATGTTCGTGTGTATAATCAAGTACTGTGTGCAGTTAAATGAGTCTGTTGTCTTGCTATAATGAGTATCTACATCCATCCTAACAGTTAATGAGGAATAAATGACTTATTATCAATGAATGGCAGTATCTAAATAGCTTTGCTACAAAAACAGAATATTAATATGTGTAGCTAAAATAGATCTTAAATGATAATGGACTTATTCAGACTATTAATTATTTTAAAAGCCTCTAGTAAGGTTTACTGCTTCTGGATGGAATTGGAGCTCAACTGGTTCAAGTGCCCTTATATGTTTGCAGATAGAGTTAACAAATGACCCTTTAAAATTGTATCTTAGAACTAAATGGAAAAAGGGTTTTTATGAAACACATGTGCTGCCATGAAAAATCAGACCACAGATCTCTCTAGTTCAGCATTTTATTCCCACCAGAAATTAGGCCTACTCACTTCAGTGGAAGCAGCAAGAACTGTCTCTATAGCTGACCTTGCATTTTAACTGACTCACCTCCTAATGATCAGCTGAGGGTGAGCCCGTGCCCTGAGGTACAAAGGCGATGCCTTTTACTATCATTTTTTTAAAAGCCAACGTTTTCTAGTACGGTAAAAAGATCTCATTGTCACATGAATGTCAAATTAATTTCTTTAATTTCTAGGCTCTTGGTCTCAGTGATACCATGTTCAGATCATGAAATTACAACTATTGCAGAAATTTGGCTTGTTCAAGTATTCCTGGCAGTGAGTAGATGCAGTGACCTCTTATCTATATAGACTAACAAATTCTGGATGAAGAATTAATTGTGGAATTTCTTTTAATTCTTCCCAGTTTTAGCCAGGTTCTCAGCTATTATTTATATCTAGGAAGCTATTCCCGGAACTTGTCTTGATTCAGGAAAATTAAGTATCTTGGATAGCCTTAGTAAAGCAGTAGAACACTAAGCAAGTTTTGATTACACTTATATCTGATGCCACAAAGCTCACATAAAACTGCCTGGATTTACTAATCTCCAGGTCACAAATCTAGGCATTTTTATTTTCAGAATCTACCAAACTCAGGAAATGAATATGGGTTTAAAAAAAAAATTGCAGTGAGAATCATTATTATAGTTATTTTTTAATGGAATTTCCCTTTTCTCTTAGATATTTTGCAAGCAGTATATATTTAAACTGTGATTCTAGAAGAAAAGAAACTCCACTCTGATGCTCTAAGGGAATTTTTTTGCAATACAACACAAGAAAAATATTAAACTTCAGTATAAATTCATATGAGTACACAGGTCAAAAATTCTCATGTAAATTTTTATGTAACAAACATCACTCTTTCTAATCTGATCTAAACACACAATAATATGTATCTATGCAGCTAATTAATGAGTGTTACGCCGGACTTAAAAGTATCTATATTTAAATTTCAGATAATAAAGGTTTCCAAACTAGCTAGTTGCCATGAGAGATTTTCAGACAGTTTTCAGGCAATTTCCAGAATAAATTTTTTGTTATACGTCTTTTTCTGGTTCAGAGAAACTCTGAAACAAAAATAATCTAGGAAAAGGAAAAAGTATGCATAGAAAAGAATCAGAAATATATTGTTTCCCTCTATGTATTCTTCCATGCTTTCATTTCAGCTAAAATTCAATCTTCTTAATACTATGTTGTTTTAAGAAAGGTCTGCTTGCAGATATTATACAGTCACTGTTACACTGGTACTCATGCAAGGTTTTCTTTGAAATACCAAGGATTAACGCATTTGTTATAAAAGAAAATGAGAATTTAAATATGTTTTATGAGATCATGCAGTAAAATATTTGGAATCACAAAGTCAAAGTTTGTTCTGTTGCATGCACCAGACACTGAATGTTTTCTGAAAACGATGTGTTATTTTTCAGGAATAGCATGAAAAAATGCTTCAAAAATACCAAGAAGGCTTCTCTTTTGGCCTGTGCAAACAAAAACACAAGAATTTTCGAGATAAAACAAGCAGTGGAAGCATTGATGAGTCTGATTGATACTAAGAAACGAAGAAAAAGGTTGGTACTAGAATAGTGGGAGCAGCTTCTAATGTAAGAAGCACTGGTTGCGCTGTAGTGAATCAGATTCAGATGTTAGAAGGTATTGGTTTGATGTTAGGAGTAAACAAATCAAAAATGTTTGAAATGTTTGAAATTTTCCAAATTTCCCACATCCTAAATTGTCTTTACACCTAGTGTTCATGAGACTGAAAAGGTGCCTTACCATGCTAGCAGCAGAAAATATCACGCTCAAAACAAACTACAAGTGCAGCTGTGCTGTGACTGCAGCCTAAAAGCAATTTTCAAGGGAAGTGTTA